GTCGTGCATTGCACGAGTTAAAATAACTAGACAAAAAATTAATAAGAGTGCTATTTAGTTTATTTGTTGTTAACTTATAATCCTAAAACAATTGAAATGTAAGATCGGAAGGAATTGATGTTCTTATTTAACTTTAGTTCTTTTTTTTTTTTTTTTGAACATGCATTTAACTTTAGTTCTTTAATTGAGAGATAAGAAAATATTGTATGAGTCCTTAATTGAGATAATAGTAAAAAAGACAAAAAAGATTTGTTTGTACTATGAGATAAAGATTAATATTAAATGGATTTTGAATTTTTTTAATATTCTTTCTTTCTAATGTGGCTTTATATAACTTTTTGAAAAATAACTCTTGTCAATTACCAAAATTAATCTTAAACTCAGCTTTAATCAATTAATTAGAATCTTTTGACTAAAAAATCCTTATAAAATTCAAGAGTGGATAAGAAATAATATAGAATGTAAGTTCTAATATAAAGAACTGAAGATTAACCCATGTTATGCATGTGCCAAAAAACACTAGTTAGGAAAAAGAATATTCTAAAATGTATTTATGGTTAATTGCAATTATAAAAATTTATAATTACTAAAAATCTTTGACGAACCAGCGCGCTTAAGATCTAGTTCATCTTAAAATAGCAATATAACAAGCGAAACAACTGTTGCAGTGTCAATTAGCAGAACAGAGAGGCCTACGGCCAACCAGTTGGCGTGGACAATATACAACAAAGGAGATTGGAAGACCGTACATAAGATTTTCCAAGAGAGTTCATATATGTTGGAATAGGCTCAACATCCAAACAGGGTTATGCATAACGGGCTTAGGTGGCCATCCTTCAGCCCAAGCTAAAGGGGGCACCGTACCAGCATGCTCAAGTGACCAGCACCACGTGGTCCAATGTGATGCTCACACGTACAGGTGCAGGTCAGCACTTGGGGGTTATAAATACCCCCCAACTACCTCCTAGGAAGGTAATTAATCTCTACGCTCCTCTCTCTGCAATTACTCATTGAGAGCATCTCTCTCTAGAATATTGAGTATTGCTGACTTGAGCGTCGGAGTGTTTTTCTCGAGGAAACAACCTCGAGATTTTCAGGTGTAGGAGCAGCTAAGGATTTCAACGGTGTTGGACTACGAAGCTGCCCAAACATTTGGCGCCGTTTGTGGGAACCTGAACAAGAAGTTGTGTAGCTTAACCTGCTGAAAGACAAAATGGTTCGTACTTTTACAGGAGGTCGCCCTCCAAGAAATGAGATGGACGAACAGGAGGACGCCCAAGTATCTGAGCTCGGATTGAATGACTTTAGGCCAATGCCAAGAAACCTTTTCGTCGGGGGAGCCAAACAGGATCACCTAAGTGAAACAGATGATGAAAGAACACCAACTGGGTATGCAACCCAGCCTAAACAACTCCGAGTTTCAACAGGAACAAGACAAAGACCTTCTAGACCATACAATTCACAACATGAACGACCTGAAAGGTCAACAGAACCTGCTCGGACAACCGAGCTCGAAGAGAGAACTAGAGTTCTCGAAATGGCAATGGGTAAAATCCTTGCCTGCCTGATTCCTGATGACCCCCTGATTCCTTTGTTGAATAACAAGCTGCGGTTGTTGCAACTCGAAACTCCCTTGCTTTAAGCAACATCGTAGTGCCGACCAGGCCAAGGGGAAGTGGAAAACTAAATAATGAACCCAGCTCGTCCAAGCATAGTGAAGAATTGATGAGAAAGAACGCAGACCTTGAAAGGTAGCTGCGGGACGTACAGAAGTCCATTGACGAATTGAAAAGTCCCAGGTCGCACCAATAGACCTTGGATTTGGATAGTTCTCCGCTGAACCTATCCATCACAGCAGAACCATATCAAGAGGGATTCAAAATTCCCCACCTGGAGACATGATGGCTCGGGCGACCCGGATGAACATCTACACACCTATCAAGCCATCATGAGGATCCAAAATGCCAATGATGCCATGATGTGCAAAGTGTTCCCAGTGACACTGAAATCAACAGTCAGAAGATGGTATCACAAGCTCCCCAGACATTCCATAGACTTATACTCTCAGCTTGCCAAGCTATTCTCCAACAAATTCGCGAGTCAGAGAGAGATCAAATGCACAGCAACCGAGCTGATGCAAGTTAATCAAAAGGAAGGGGAATCTCTGAGAGACTACATGCAGCGATTCAACAAAGCCACTCTGGACATTGACAACGTCCCAGACACTATCTGCTTGTCTGCATTGTTGCATGGCTTGAGGCGTGGTCGGTTTCTAGACGACCTGTTAGAGAACCCACCCAGGACTTGGAATGAAGTGAATGATAGGTCGGCTAGCTTCATATTATCAGAAGACTTCCAGTCGTCCAAGCGACGAGCTGACGATAAGCAAAGCAAAAGCCAGGAACAACCACTAAGAAGGGAAGAAAAGAAGAAACAGAAGGTCGGCGAGCAGTGGGGGAAGCCCACTGACTTCCCAAAGTATGCCAACTACATTCCTTTAACCCTGTCGAGGTCTCAAATCCTTGCGCAAATCCAGCATTGGGTTAGGAGACCCCCGCCTCCATTGCATGATTCACCAAGAGCAGATAAAAGCAAACATTGTGACTACCATCGTGTATGGCCACAATACAGAAGACTGCCAACACTTGAAGGACGAGCTGGAGTTTCTAGCTTGCAATGGAAAGCTAGAAGGATATGTTCAGAAGCCCCACGCCCAGTAACCCACTCAAACTCATTTTGTACAGGGTTACGACCAACCTCAAGGGCAGAGGTACCAGCTCGACGGGGCACAGAATGTATATCAGGATAGCCAGTATCCTTCTGACCAGGGGAGGGCATACAGAGGGTGTCCGTTCAACAGGAGAGGACAGGGGCAGAGAGCTGCTGCCCAGAACCAAAAAGATAAGAAAGGGGTAGGCTACGCTGGGATACCCCCGCCCTCGGGTACAATAAACATGATATCAAGTGGTGTTCACTCTGGGGGCCAAAGCGCCCGAGCCCGCAAGGCTTATGCCCGATAGGTGATGACTGTCAACAAAAACAGACCTTTGAAGCGACCGTTTGAGGAAGCAGAATGGAAGAATACGCCTATCACATTCAGCCCGGCGGATTATAAGCGAGCAGAAAGAGAGCTTGACATTATGATGCCCCATGCAAAGCAGAATGGAAGAATACGCCTATCACATTCAGCCCGGCGGATTATAAGCGAGCAGAAAGAGAGCTTGATATTATGATGCCCCATGCAGATCCCTTTGTGGTAACGGTTCATATAGGCAATCATAATGTCCACAAGGTGTTTATTGACACTGGCAGTTCACCAGATATCCTGTACTGGAGTTGCTTCCAGAAGATGCAGCTAAATCCGAACTCGCTGCAGAAGCACGAAGGGCCAATATACGGGTTTGATAAGCAACCCGTCTCGGTCGAGGGAGTTATCACTCTTCCTATATATGTGGGCTCAGAACCACGCTTCAGGATGGCTTCCGTCACCTTCCTGGTCGTTAAGATGGAATCAGCTTTCAATGCTATATTAGGAAGAGCCACCCTGTGCGAGCTGAAGGCTGTCATCTCACAACCCCATCTCTGCATGAAATTTCCAACTCCTCAGGGGGTAGGAGTGCTTAAAGGAAATCAAAAGATGGCAAGAGCCTGCTATCAAGATACTTTCAAAAAAGTTGAGCTCGCTGCTGCCCCTTCAGGCTCTGAAAATCGCAGACCAACCCAGCTCGGTCAGCAGATGATGAGCATATCAGATATAGAGCACCGACCTGATGGTGTCGAGCAGAAAGCAGAGCCAGTAGAGCCAGTTGAGACAGTTCCTCTAAACTAAGATGTGCCAGAAAGGACGGTTAAGATCGGCACTATGATCACAGAAGAGGAGCGTGCAGAGCTTCTGGAGTTTTTGAGGAGTAATCAGGATGTGTTTGCATGGACTACGGATGAAATGCCTGGCATCCCACCGGAGTTGACAGTCCACAAGCTCAGCACGGACCCCACTAGAAGGCCGGTGGTGCAAAAACGCTGCCTTTTTGGCCCCGAGAAGCAAACTGCCATAGATGAAGAAATACAAAAGCTGTTACAGGCAGGCTTCATCAGGAGAGTGGAATACTCTAAATGGGTGTCCAACCCTGTGCTCGTCAAAAAGCCAAACAGTAAATGGAGGATGTGTATTGATTTCACCAACCTTAATGATGCATGTCCAAAAGACCCTCATCCGTTGCCAAATGTCGAGAAGTTGGTAGAACGGGCAGCTGGGCATGAACGGATGAGTTTTCTTGATGCCAACTCGGGTTACCATCAGGTCTAGCTGTTGCTAGATGATCAGGAAAAAACAGTTTTTTACACTGGTGACGCAATCTACTGCTATGTCATGATACCATTTGGCCTCAAAAATGCTGGAGCAACATACCAAAAGCTGGTGCAAATCATCTTTAAGCTCCAGATCGGCAGAAACATAAAAGTGTATGTAGATGACATGATAGTCACCAACGTGCGAGCTGGCGATCACATTGACGACATGGACGAAACTTTTCAAAACTTGCGCCGAGCCCAAATGAAGCTGAATCCCTTGAAATGCACGTTTGCAGTGGAATCAGGGAAATTCCTAGGGTACGTGGTATCCAAGAAAGGAATCGAAATAAATCCAGAGAAAGTCCAGGCCGTTCAGCAGATGGAGCCTCCCAAGACTATAAAAGATGTACAGCATCTGACAGGTCGGGTAGCTGCGCTGCATCGGTTTATAGCTAGATTGGCAGAAAGGTGCCTTACGTTCTTCAAAGCTCTGCAGGAGCCTAAAAACTTTCAGTGGACTGATGAATGTCAACAGGCATTTGACGAGCTCAAACAATATCTGGCATCAGCACCCTTGCTGTCCAAACTTGTCGATGGGGAATGTTTATATCTTTATCTGGGAGTCACAGAAGAAGCGGTGAGTTCAGTGCTACTGAGGGAAGAGAATAAGAATCAGAAGCCTATCTGCTACGTGAGCAAGGTGTTACAAGGTGCCGAGCAGAACTACTCGCTTGCAGAAAAGGCTGCTTTTGCTTTAGTCTGCACAGCTCGTAAGCTGAGAGCTTATTTCCAGTCTCATCAGATTGTTGTCTATACCGATTTACCATTAAGAAAAATACTGTAGAAACATGAGCTCTCTGGTCGGCTTATTGGATGGAGCGTCGAGCTGAGTGAATATGACCTGAAATTTCGGCCGCGCACAACCATAAAAGGCCAGGCCGTTGCGGACTTCCTGGTGGAGTGCATCTCAACAACTAAGGAAGAAAAAGCACCCGAACACCCAGTGTGGGTTTTGTACGTAGATGGAACTGCTAGTGTTGAAGGATTGGGGGCCGGGGCTGTGTTAGTGGGCCCAGATGGCTTTAAGTTCGAGCATGTGCTGAGGTTCAAGTTTCAGACAACTAACAACGCTGTCAAGTATGAGGCCCTTATTTATGGTTTGAAGCTGGCAGCCGAGCTGAAGGTACAGAACATCCAAGTCTTCAGCGACTCTCAGCTCGTCGTAGGTCAGGTGAAAGGCAGTTGTGAAACCAGGGATCCACAGCTTGGTCGCTATGCCTCCGTGGTAAACAAATTAAAGTCAAGATTTGCTTCTTTTCAGATCGACAAAATACCCAGAGCAGATAACCAACGAGCAGACGAGCTGTCAAAGTTAGCCTCCTCACAAGAAACCAACCCTCATCGGTCAACAACAGTGGAGGTACTCGATGCTCCGAGTTATACCTATTTCACAATCGAGTGTCAGCTGCTTAGCACGGATCCCTCTTTGCTGAGCTGGACTACCCCACTCATAAGTTATCTGCAAAGTGGCGAATTACCCAAAGATCTGTCCGTTGGGAAGTTGATTAAACGTAGGGCGGCACATTTCACTTTGTTAGATAACTAGTTCTACAAACGAGCAGCCTCAATGCCCCTACTACGCTGCCTAACTCCTTACGAAACTGAATACGCTGTGAGGGAAGTTCATGAAGGAGTATGTGGGACGCACATCGGTGGCAAAACATTAGCTCGGAAACTCCTGAGGCATGGTTATTACTGGCCCACTATGGTTGAGGACGCGCAGAACTATGTCAAAAAATATCCGACCTGCCAGTTCAATGCTGATGATATACACATGCCAGGTATTTGAGCCTGTTCCGAAGATCATGCAAACTTCCTATTTGTCTATAAACTGAGCATAAGTATCTTCCTTGAAACAGGGAAAATGCTATCATCTCTCACGTCTCCCTGGCCCTTTGCTCAATGGGGTGTCGACCTGCTCGGCCCTTTCATCAAAGGCAAAGGGGGCTGCACTTTCCTGGTCGTTGCAGTGGATTACTTCACTAAGTGGATAGAAGCTAAACCATTGTCCACGACAACAGAAAGGAAAATAGAAGATTTCTTGTTCAATTCAATATTGTGCAAGTATTCTTTGGTGACTTAGGTCATAAAAAAAAATTATTATATGCAAACGTGGTTTGTAGCTCAGCTCGGTCATCTGTGTGCAGGTTCGGCATACCTAAACGGATCATCGCCGACAATGGGCCACAGTTCCGAGCAGCAGCACTAAGATCGTTTTGTAACGACTATGGCATCAAGCTCGCCTTGACATCCGTGTATACTCCACAATCTAACGGACAAGCCGAGTCGGCCAACAAAATCGTCTTGCGAGGCCTCAAGGCACGTGTTTTAGCTGCATATTCAAATTGGGTTGACGAGCTCAATAAAGTGCTCTGGTCTTGTCGTACTACACCCAGCTCGGCCACGGGCGAAACCCCTTTCAGCCTGGCCTATGGAGCTGAGGCTGTCATCCCAGTTGAGGTTGGATTGCCATCTGATCGAGCGGGCTGGAGTGACGACCTCAACAATGAGCAACTGTTGAGAGAAAACCTAGACTTCGTGGAAGAGGTCAGGAAGATGTCTAGAATAAGAAACATGGCGCATCAAAGTAGTGTTGCAAAATTTTACAACAAAAGAGTTCGAGCTCGCTAGTTTCAAGTCGGCGATCTGGTCCTGTGTAAAGCTGGGTTAACTAACACTTATTCACACATGGGCAAGCTCGCTCTTAATTGGGAAGGCCCTTATATGGTTATTCAAGTTAAACGACCTGGCTCCTATGTATTAGCAGATATACAGGGACGTCAATTGCCTTACATTTGGAACATACAGAATCTTAGAAAATTTTACAGTTAACCTGTATACTATTCTTTTATTCAAGTTGTTATTCGACAATTGTAAACAATGATATATCGAAAATACAGCAAAAATTCAAAGGAAAACTCATTTTTGTATTTCATCAAAGATGTTTACATTGAAGGTACATATGATATGAATCCATTGATCAAATACAAAAATGAAAAAGCGAAATACAAAAGATCAAAAGAAAAACCCTAAATCTAGTCATCCGTCTGTTGACGACCACTTAAAAAGGATTAAGCGTGAAAGATATAACAAAAAGGGGAGTCGCCACTTGTCCAAATTGTAAGGTGGGACAAGTCACCTAAAATGGGTCTGCGCAGATATTGGGGTTCGGGGGTTCAGTTAGGAGTGAGGAAGGGCATACGCGCACCTCACAATCCTCTGTTTAAACACAGTTGCATACTTTAAAATTGGGGGTTTTGAATCAACTTATTCATCATTTCTATGTTGAGTCTTAATAAGCAAACTTGAAAAAAAGAGATAAACCAA